ATTTACAGAGACCATCATCACTAGTTATTTTTTTTCACCGCAGGCAACAGACTCTTAACTAACATTTTTTATTGTAGCCAGAAATCTTGTTTCATTTGCTACTTTTTGATTTTCCAGCAACTTCAGAATGAGTTTTGATTATTTAAGTAATCTTTTACTCTTATTTGACACTTTCTTCCTTTCTTTTCCGGTTTTTAAAAAGCTATAATAGTTTAAAGTGTACAAAAATAATTATGAGATATTATGGGTAAATGTGTAAAAGGATTTAAATTCTAATGATCTCTGTTGGTGAGAATTTTAGTGATTAAGATGAATGGTTTGTTGAAACTTCTTAAGTAGGAGGGTATTAATAGATTTACTTAGGGGTGGGGCAAAAAAAAGCAAATAGCCAAGTTTATCAAATGTAAGTTTGTTGGTTGGGTTATATTGGAAGGAAAAATTTGTGTTTATTATGGATTAATGGTTGTTTAAAAGAAATATACACCTCAGCATGGAGAAGATGGATAAATTACATATAGAGTAAATGTGGGTTAGAGTTGCTATGGGATTAAAAAGTATTATTTAGATTATGAATAATTTTTAGTTTTTAATTTGGAATTGCTTATATTGTTATTTTTTTTATTTGCTTAAATTTGTTTTGTATTCGAGTTAAAGCACATTATTGATTTTGTTATTTGTATAGTTGGATAAGTTTATTTAGAATGTATTTGTTTATTTGTAACCCTGTAACCAGCTCTGGGAAGTGAGGGGGGGAGGGAGGGGGTTATTTTAGGGAGGGATATTGTTAAAAACTTGTATAAAACTTTTCAATAAAAAAAAGCTATAATAGAAAGCACTTTGGGCTAAATCCAAGATTTCCTCTACCAATAATAGAGACATTTGAAATCGTATGTGAATTACTACTCATATATTGTGAGGGGGGCGTGAAGTTGGGATGCCAACTGCTTTTTTTTTTAATTTTATAAATTTTTATTAAGTACAAAGAAAAAAAAAGGATTAAAAACATTGAACGTGGTAAATCGTCTTTGACTGACATCTCAATCCATATTGTACATTAATTACATATAATATACCTATATACAACTATACATTTCTAGTCTCTATCTCAGTTTATCTCTTTACTGGGACCTCCATTTTTCTTTCCCTCCATCTATAAAATTTATTCCATATTCGATAAAATTCTGTTTCTCCCTGATTTTTTTAATCTTTTAGTTATCCTATCTAGTTCTGCGCAATACATAATTTTCTTTATTAGTGCTTCCCCACTCGGTACTTCCATTGCTTTCCACTTTTGAGCAGCTTTTCTGAAAGGAACTATTGATGTCCAGAGGCAACTTCTCCTCAGCCAGGTTCTTAGCTAAGAAAAGCACACACTAACACAAAGTGAGGAGGAGTGTAGGGGAAAAGGTAATAAGTCAATGTAGAGACAGGGAAGCGGAGGAAACATCTGACGATTGGCAGCAGGCAGGGAGACTACCGGTCCACTGCCAGGATCACAAATTATGGTGAGCTGGATATCCTGATGGGAGTCCTGCTTGGAACTTTGTCTGAAGCTCGGCTGCAACTAGAAAAGGAGCAAGCACACTGAAACAGCATCCCATTTTATGTAATATAAGAACTTCTGGAATATGGCAAAGGTTGCTACTTTAAAGATTCTGGGACTTTTCTTTGAACTGAGTATTAACAGACCAAATAGAAAGAACTTGAGTATTAGAGACATTGTTACATGGCAACATCACTTTGCAAAGTCTAAGAAGGATGGAGTAGATTCAGAGCAATGGCCTATTATTAGGGAAGGTGTGTGCTGCAATAAAGTATTTGATATGCTGTGTTGTGCTCAATCCTTGGAGAGCAAAGAACCCTCACAGATATCTAACATCTCTTACCTTCTTTTTTCGTTTTAAGCATGCTCTGCCTACCCATGACTATATCACCTAGAAAAACATGTTTATTCAGTTAGCTATTAATATAAATAATGATATACTAAGTAATGCTGCACATATGCTATGCACTCAGTAATTTTATCTGTAATATCAACAATCCCATGAGGGATTCTAGGGTACCAAGGAAGCAACAATTGACAGAGATCATAAAATCACTTCACATCTTTTCCACTTCTGTCCTCTCAGAGGAGGAACTTTTCTTCATAACAAATAACTGACACACTACCTTCAACATCCCAAGCTTCTATAGGAAGCTTGCATATCTGTTTGAGGTTTTTCAGACTTTCTTGAAATGCATCAGAACTCTTCACTCTTAAGATATTTTTTCTACGTTTTCTTCTCTCTCTCTCTCTCCCCCCCCCCCGGCAAATGTACAAAGGAATAATAATTTGGAAAATCAGGGATAATCAAAAAGTGCAGGTTATTTGACAGCATGATTTGTTATGAGAGTCGTATTTTACTAAGTTAGCTTCTTTTCTATATCATTCTTTTTCTGTCACTGGGTTTGAACTTAAGCTCTATGAAAAATGGCAGCTAAAAATACTTGCCTCTATTCAGATTATAAGCATTTTGGCTCTGAGGGACCCCAACATTATGTACCTGTATAACTTGGTTTTATAGTGTTTAGACAGAACAACACTAATCTTTTCCTTGGCTCAGCCACTAGTAAAGCTGGCAGGGTGTAAGCAAGAATAGCATTCAAATACTCCTAAGGACTTGTATATTCTGTCAGATAAATGGCTTTTTGGAACGTCAGATTGGATCTTGAGCAGCTGTTCTATAAGAAACTTGCAACAAGCAAGTGAAAATAAATTATTTGCTTCATTTTTTCCCCTGCTGTGTCATTCTCAGTGAGTAATTTATGTTCTAAAGCAGGGGTGTCAATCTCGCAATGTCACATGACATGTCGCAATGTATCATGACTTTTTCTCCATTGCAATGGGGTGGGTAAGGTTTTGGCATTACGCATCTGGCCCATGGGCCGGCAGTATGACACCCCTGTTCTAAAGTGATCAAAGGGCCAGCCTGTTAATTAATGTGGGTGAAAAAGAAAATAAAAAAAATATTGTGTGTCTAAGTTTTCTCTTCAGTGGCTGCTGACAAAAGAACAGTTAGGAGAATTACTTACTAATGAAATATTTTTAGATACGGTTTTGCTTCAAGTGTTGACACAGTTATAAAGACTGGAATTCTTGCTCTTTAACATTATTTTTGATATTAAAATTATGTGAACTGAATTCTAGTACAAGTTTATAATATCACAAATGTAAAATAACTGCCATTTAAACGGTAGTTTAAAATAAACAAGTTACATTAATAATGCAGGCTAATTCTATTAGAATGCAAGTTTATGGCTTGCCAGTTGGCTACCAGAAATGATGCAACATTCTTATAGTGGAAACCTGCAAAAGATCTCTCTAAAGATGGAGGGGCTATATGTTTGGACTAAAGCAAACCCTATGTAGTAGATCTCACCTTCAAACACTGACATCTCCAGGCAGGGCTCAGAAAAACTCCCTGCTGAAATATAGCCAATCAACATAGACAATGTTGAACTTGATTGATGATTCATTGATATCAGAATTCGGATGCCACAATGTACACTGAACATTATTAATCTTCCCCTATTCTTCAGTGTAGAAGAGCAATTTAACCTCATGTTAAAATCATAAACTAAGATCAGGCTTTACAAACTAAGATTTGGTACTGGGCAAGTAAATCAATTATGAAAATTACGATTTTATAATACAATTGTTACCGTCTTTTGATCACTACTGAAAACTTCCAATTTTCTCTTCTAACGTAGAAGGAATAAAAGAAGCATTCCAACCTGAGAACCTCTATAGAATTGTACAGAGAACCTCTATACGATTGCTTATTATCAAATTCAATTTTAGCAAGTTCATGGCAACTTTTAAAAACTTTGCTTCATATCAACATCTTTTTCCTCCATCTAATTTATGCTGAAGAACTAAAAAGGTCTTTCCCTTAATCTGTACCTCCAAAGAGTGGGATAAAAATGGTTAATCTCCAAACTGATGTTGGCATTGGTTTTTTTCACTCAAACTCTGCATGCTTCCTCAAGAGATACTCCTTTCCTTACAGCAATGCCTAGAAAGATATACAGTGCATTCAGAAAGTATTCAGGCCCCCTTCACTTTTGTCAATTTTTTTACGCTGCAGCCTGATTCTACATTGACAAAAGTGAAGGGAATCTGAATACTTTCTGAATGTACTGTACATCCATGCATCATTTGCTAAAATCTTGAGTTCTGAAACTGGTATGTAGGATATATACATAAGTTAACTGTGGATTCTTAAGAAATCTATTTCTTGCAAAATATTTAGAAGAAGCAGAAAGTTTATTATAAGAACTGACTGTTATCCTCGGTTTGGCACATTTAGGAACATTTAGGAATTATATTTCAAAATGTATGAATGTACTCAGTTTCCATATATGCAAAGACATAGCTTAAGATGACAGAAATTCTTGATCACACTAAACACCGCATTAAGTCACTAGCCATTTTTATTTAAAACTCTTTACCAAAAGAAATAATTTATTTTACTCACTGACAAGTTACAATTAAAAAACCGCAAAAGGGAAGCATAGCTCTGAGAACTTGTCTCTGAAATGTCAAAGAATTTTGGTAGCAGCTTTCCATGGGAATGCTACATGGATTGGAAAATAGAAGTAAATACAAGCCTCCCTACACAAGGTAGTAGCAATAATACCTTCAATAAATACAGCTTATAGTCAGCGTTAAAAATTTCCAAGGAGATTAATAAAATGAATAATTAGAATGTACTGAAAATATTAAAGCAAAAATATTTCACAAAATCATCAAGACTTACTTGAAAATAGATCAGGAAAATGATCCCATGTACATTATCACTTTTTTGTAGTATTTTTGAATGGTTTATAAGATATATAATTTATCTTGATTTTTCTGACTGCCAAGATCTTGGTCTTTATGGTCTCTCTCTCTCTCTCTCTCTCTCTCTCTTTCCAAGAGCTGACAACATTTAGGAATTAACACAAGCAAAAATGTTTACCTTCACAAGATTCAAAATGATGATCGGAGAGCCAAATCTCTGGAGCATTTGATCAAAGTGAAGAGCAGCTACATGAGCAAATGGATCTGCCTGATCCACTAGAAAAAGAATAATTCATATTACAAGAACAGATCCTAGGATCTTATTAGGTCTTAATATGCTATACATTTCATTAGCAATCTTCATTGAAACTACAAAGTAGATGGAAGCCAGATGATCAGGACAGATGATACTCTTTTCCTCTCATCTATTTTTTAATAAAATTTTCTAAATCTGGAAAGTGAAGTGATTTCCCTACACACACACATACACACACACACACACACACACACACAAAGTTCTTATATTGTTATTCAAAGTTCTTTTGTGAAATGATAACATACACACAAAAAATAATAAGTGATCTATCAATTAAAATAGAGCTGGAAGGGACCTTGGAGGTTTTCTAGTCCAGCCCCCTGCTCAAGTAGAAGACCCTGTACCATTTTAGACAAGTGACTGTCTAGTCTCTTCTTAAAAACCTCCAGTGATGAAGCACCCATAACTCCTAAGGGCAAGCTATTCCAGTGGTTGATTGTTTCTCCTTAATTTAGGTTGCTTTTCTCCTTGATTAGTTTCCATCCACTGTTCCTGCCCTCTGGTGCTTTGGAAAATAAATTGAACCCCTCCTCTTTGTGGCAGCCTTTCAAATACTGGAATACTGCTCTCATGTCTCTCCCCCCCCCCTCCGGTCCTGCTTTTTTCTAGATTAGACAAACCCAAATCCTGCAACCGTTCTTCATATGTTTTAATCTCCAGGCCGTTAATCATCAATTGCTCTTCTTTGCACTTTTTTTTTCAAAGTCTCAACATTTTTTTTGTAATGTGGTGACCAAAACTGGATGCAGTATTTCTTGTGTGGCCTTACTAAGGCTTTATAAAGTGGTACTGATACTTCATGTGATTTTGATTCTATGGCTCTGTTTATACAACCAAGGATCGTATTAGCTTTTTTGGCTGCTACCACACATTGCTGTCTCATATTTAAATGATCGTCCACTAGGATGCCAAGATCCCTCTCACAGTTACTGTTTTGAGCCAGGTTTCACCTAATCTATACTTGTACCTTTGCTTTTTCCTGCACAGGTGTAAAACCTTACTTTTCTCCACATTAAATTTCATATTGTTGGATAGGACCCATTGTTCAAGTCTGTCAAGATCTTTCTGGATCCTGAACTTGTCTTCTGGGGTGTTGGCTATTCCTGCCAGCTTAGCGTCATCTGCAAATTTAATGAGTTCCTCTTTCATTCTCTCATCTAAGTCATTTATGAAGATATTGAACAATACTGGGCCTAAGAAGGAACTTTGTGGTACCCCACTGGTTAGTTCCCTTCATGTAGACGTCGTATTAAGAGCTACTTGTTGAGTATAGATTGTTAGCCAGCTACAAATCCATCTGGTGGTGATCCCACATTTTTCTAGCTTACCAAGAAATAGGTTACGGTCTACTTTGTCAAATGCCTTGCTGAAGTCTAAGTATACTATGTCCACAGCATTTCAGTGGTCTACTAATTTAGTCACTTTGTCAAAGAATGATATAAGATTGCTTTTGCATGATCTGTTTTTAACAAACCTGTACTAGAAAAAAGCACTGTGATGCATGTTAAGCAAATACTTCCCAACAACTCACTTGGCTGACAGTGTTGGAATACGATATTTGAAAGAATTCAGTGCAGAAAGGCACTCTGGTTTCAGATCTACTTTGGCCATACAGAAGTATGTATAAAAGACATAGGTTCTGAATTAGCTGTAATTAGATGAACGAGCATGACCTTGTAACAGAAACAGAGTTCCCACTTCACTATGGTTTTATCTGTTGCATTTAAATTCTACTGTTTCCCCTGGAGTTCAGAATGGTATGTATGTAGTACTGACCCTTTCAATTTTACCTACTAACTTACTGATCTCCTCAAGAAAAAAAACTGAACAAATAATGGCTTGCAGTCAGTTATTATCACTTTGATGATAAAATGGTTTGATCCACTATCTTATCAAAGTGCAACCAGCAGAGGTACAATTTCCAAAGATTTTTACTTCTTTCTGCAGCTTCCTATGCCACTTATGATGTTGTTCAAAAAGCTTAACCAACTGGGCAGCATAGATGGGATAAAGGGAAAAGAAGGAAATCTTTCTTAATTTCAGTATCTGACGTTTTACTGGATCAATGAAGTGATACAATTGCCTTTTTACTTTCTTTTTGGATGAGTTTTAAAGCACACAGTGCAACATATTTTTTTAATCCCCTGGCTCCATCTTATATAACTACTTGTGATAGATAAAACAAATCCATAATTCAATAACACAATATTACACATTTTCTATTTGAGAGCAAAAGAAGACAACAAAGCAGCAATGGTTTTATGCCTGATTTAGCCTCTAATTTGTCTTTTAAGTTCTGTTCTGTTAACCTAAGCAGCCTACAGGAAGAAGCAAGAAATATTATTTTTTCTATGTAAGTGATAGGTAATAAAGATAAGTACATGCTTTTGATAGCCAGTTAACTAAATGATTATATTATTGAATTTCTAAAAAAAAAACTGTCATAGCTCTGTTGGTCCAACACTACACCCATTGTCATGCCTTCGTCTGAGCCTGAATCTGCGGAGGAAAATGAACTGGAACAGGACCCTATGGAAGCCGAGGGAGAGATGTCTGTGGCTTCAGAGGAATGTGGGGAAGAGCAGGCCAGGGCAGGCCAGGGTCCTTCAGGATTGGAACAGGAGGAACAGGAGAGCCAGAGTTCAAGCGATGAGCAAGGGCCACCCCCACCTGATCCTAGAGCATGGAGAGTGGAGAGAAGGAGGGAACAATGCAGGCAGGCTCAATTACTCAGGAGGAGAGCATCCCGCCCTTCTCTACAAGGAAAACCTGGAGATTGAGATTTAAAGAGACGCTGTGGGGAGGGGCATTTGTTGGGAACAAACGCTGATTCTTGGGAGTGTTGTGTGTTGTTGCTGATCTCTTGTTCTGTGATTTTTGTTTGGAAACCTTGAGACTCGAACTATTGGATTGACTGACCACGTTACTTGAATGTTTAAAGACCTCGGACTGTATTTCGGATTCTCTCTTTTGAAAACTGCTCAGGCAAGCTAGGATTCAAACAGACTTGTTAAATTTATGTTTTCTTCCTTGTTACATCTATGGCCTTAAGTACTTTCTTATGCTAATCAGACTGCATTTGAACCTACTTTCAGCCAGAGTTGGTTGAACGGGTGTGTGTGTTATTTGCTTGGAGGCTTGCCAGCAAATGTGGGAGCACCTGGGGAAAATTTGGAGCAATAAAAGAACTGTTTGAATTGCCAGCTGACTGCATTGCCTCTGTGCTGTGCCCTGGGTCATCACACCCATCCCTGCACGGATAATACTTATTACAGGTAGTCCTCAATTTAGGACTGTAAGAGTCTGCCCATTATGGTCATATGTTGTCACAATTAAGTGAAGCATCTTATCTAATGACACTTCCAATTCAATTATTAAATGAGCATGCGGGTTTTTAAATGGAGCATCGGGTGGGAGAAGCCCTTAGAAGCCTAGCACAGGACCAGGCTTGCCTGCCAAGGTCTCCCCCATCCCTGAGGCACCTGGTGCCTTGCTTCTTGTCCCTAGGGGCTCTCCAGGGTTCAGCCTGCTCCCATGAGGTGCAATGCAATGTGATGCTCAACTTTCTTGTACAATCAGGGCAACGTCATGCTATCCTCCTAGTACCATAAGTAGTATTTCTCATGAGACTATAGGGGGCAGCATTTTTAAGGAGGCTCCACACACTCCACAAACAAACAGAACTTTCTTAAAAAGTCTTGCAAGAGATACTACTTGCTAGGACAGTGATGGCGAACCTTTTAGAGCCTGAGTGCCCAAACTGCAACCCAAAACCCACTTATGCATCATCGAGTGCCGGGTGGGTGTGGCCCATTGGCTGGGTGTGGTCAATTGGGTGGGCGTGGCTGCAGTGGTAACAGCAGACTGGGTGGGACTAAAAAGTTCAATCAATCAATTCCAACTTTGTAAGATCTCTTTTTTTCTCATGAGAAGATGAAACTGACTGAACTTTTTTTTTTTTTTTGCACATGGCGGTGGAGGCCTAAAGCAAAAAAGTTTTATAAAACCCAGATGAAGGCCTAGGACTGGGGCAATGGCACACGTGCCCACAGAGAGGGCTCTGAGTGCCGCCTCTGGCATCCATGCCATAGGTTCGCCACCACTGTGCTAGGAGAATAGCACAAGGATGCTATGAGGCCAGCAGCCTCTTTAAGAAAGCTGAGCCTCGCATTGCATCTAATTAATATATTTATTTTGAAAGAATAGCCTTTCCCTCACTACCTACCTTCACAAGCTCTGTTCCTAATGTAACAACAGATCCTGTTTAAATTTCAATTGGGAGGTTATCTGCAAAACTAGCTGGCTGCCCTTAGAAAAGAAAAAAGAGGTGTGCTAAAGTGTGGGTGTAAGGAAGAAAATATATTTGTCTATGTCTTAAAATGCCTTATCTATAAAATATTAAGAGGATACATGGCCACTTTCCTAGGATATGATAGTATAGATTGCATAACCAGAGTATACAATATATTAATGCTATCACTTAGAAAACTTTTACCAGTACAATTTGCAATTAGCTCTGACTGGTCAAAATATTATTTTTTCCATCTTGAAACTACAGCTGGAAGCACAAGAATCAGTAATTTACCAACACATAATTTGCACATAAGCTACAAATCAATATTTTGTACGTACGTGTAATTGGTGGCTTAGGCATCATAGTCGATATGTCTTGAGACCAATACAGAGGGACTGAACCTCGCACTTGGACATAAGATGAATAGCTTCCAGCAGAAAATGACATTACTGAAGCATCATAAAGTATTTGCTCAGTTTCTACTTCATTTGCTACATCTCCCTGCATGAAAAAAGCAGTAACTTTATGATACTTCAAATTATCAACATCCTCTTCAAAAGTATCATCACTCAATTGTCACCCAAGTTTTCATTTTAGCATAGGAAAAATTGATGGATTCACGGGATTGATTATGATTCATGGCATTGTCTTAACCATTCAACAATAATTTCTGTACCTCTAGATCTAAATAAGATTTGGAAAAATGTCTCACTAATTTCATTTTGCTGTCATCTACACTAAAATTGTAGTTTTTCCTTCTGTTCCTAAATCTACAGTTTACTCCAAACCAGATATCATGACTGAAGGAGAACACTATGCCACGGAAGTATCTAACTATGCACCTCCCATCGTATGTGGTTCCCTGAAAAGAATTCTGCTGTGCAACTAGAAACAGAAAGTCACTTTGATATACAGTAGACTGATATTGATGGAGTGAGGCAGATGATCATGACATTAAACATACCTCTATTTAAATTCTGTATCAATATGATTGATTCAGAAGTGCCACTGTATTGATGGATACACTACCACTAAATAACATACATTCTTAATATCTACAATTCTTAGATATTATTCACATTTGCTTGGAGCTTGCTTATCTGAAGTGTCCATGGGGCAATTGGAAGAGAGAGGAAAAGAGTGAAGGAGGATACCAACAGCAGAACAGAGAAAGCCCACAGGGATTAAAAAATATCATACCACAATCACTGATCTCCAAAACTCAGGGGGAAAAAGCCCTTCTACCTTAATGCATAATTAAGAAATTTGCTTGCGCAAATGAGTATCAATATTTTCTCAGACATTAAGAAAAAGAAGATCAAGCAGTTTTGAATAAGTTCTTAGGTTTGCAACCCGATTAAACAGTTTGACCTTGAAGCTCCTATGGATTTATGATAAAAATCTGAATTCTACTAACTTGCAGTGTTTTGTCAAAGAAATCTTAAATCTGAAATGCATAAATGAACATTCCTCTGGGCACACATACACTGCAATCATAAAATTACAATACACATAAGTATATTGAAAAGCCTGAAATCACTGCATCTAACAATAACAGACGCAGAGGTTTTGTAATTTTATTTAAGATGATCAATCTTATTAATAAAACAAATGAAGTATAAACTAGCTTGTCTGGGACCTCATTATATACACTTGCCAAAACCAAGAAAAAATATGATTTAGAACTTTAGATTTGCCTAAATCAGTGGTTTTCAACCTGTGGGTCGGGACCCCATTTGGGGTCGAACGACCATTTCACAGGGGTCGCCAAACAAGGCTGTCCGCCATTTTTTCCCCCTGGCACCCAGTGATGTATAAGTGGTTGGGGGTCACCACAACATGGGGAACTGTATTATGGGGTCGCGGCATTAGAAAGGTTGAGAACCACTGGCCTAAATAGCAAAAAACAGTTATCACCAAGTCCAAGCCTGGGGGGGGGGGAGAGTACATCTCATGCAACATTTTCATACAACAATGAAAAAAAACTATACATGTTATTTTAGAATAAGTACTGTATAAATAACTTAGATGTGTAATTATAGATGAAGAATCGATTGTAAAATGTGGAACAACTTGATAAGAATGTATATACTGGAATGTCACGTTACATCCAATGTTTTTTAATTGTATTATAAATAAAATTTTGAAAAAAAAAACAATGAAAAAAACTCTATTATATGTATTACCTCACAGTTTGCTCCTCTCTTTAGAAACCGTGTTCCAGCAAATTTACTTGATCTTCTGGCTATTAAAGTGACATACACTGGGCGACCATAAATAAGCAGTTCTTGGAATCCAAGATAAGGTTTATAAATATATGTCATTTACTACCCCACATTCTTCTTTTAATTCCCTTTTAGTCCTGGCATATACATAAACACAGAGCAGGTGCACCGTTCTTATTTAAAAAAAAAATGTTGTTTTAGTCTAGCAATATGACATTTTAATCTTTCAAACTAACCTAATAAAAAACAAGAAAGGCAGAAATTCTACTTAAGAGCTGAATGGAAAAATATCAGGCCCTGCTGGTCAAATTGTATGTTTTGTGCATCCCTTGGTGAAGACAGGTTAACATAACCTCTGCGTGATACAAAATTAAACATTGTATCTTTTGGGAAATCTGAAGTACATTCAACCATTTAAAGATTCAAAATAAGATTCAAAATAAGAAAAGAGTGAATACAGCAGGTGCAGAAGCTTAGATGCCATTCCAGTTGATTCAGTGTTGCTTTTTTAAAAAACAAACTACACTATATAGTAAAGCTATCAATAAGGCCTCCAAATCTGTTATTCATCATGCTTATGGCACAATTAGCCAGACTTTCAGAGGTAAATAAATACTCTGACTCTTCTAAATCTCTGGTTGGGATCGTTGTTCTTTCTATTTTAATAACCATGGATTCCTTTAAGCAACTATCCAAGGATTTGAAAATGAAGGTAATTCACTCTTACAAATCAGAGTAAGGTTTATTAAAAAAAAAAAATCTAACTACGTTCAGTTGGCAATTTCAACTGTGAGAAACACTGCTTAAAAAGACCAAATTTTTAAGCTATTGAATTCAGGACAAGATAATAAACCAATCTCTACTAGCATATCATCTTGCCAATTATTAATCATGGAGTGGCTTTATTATTCTCTGAGGTTGTGCAACAGTCACTAATGCAGTAAATATTATGTGACCAAACAAAAGAACAGATTGTCCCAAAGGTGCTTTTCCAAAAGGCAACTGGACTTTTGTTTTTCCTTGAAGACATTTCAAGGAGAAACAAAGAACTGAAGAAACTTCTTGGATGAGAAGCAAATTGTCTTCAAGGAAAAACAAAGTCCAGTTACCTTCTGAAAAAGCACGTTTGGGACAACCATGACCTGGATGACTGAGAATCTCCATAGACCAGAGGTAGGCAACCTTGGCTCTTTTATGACTCTTGGACTTCAGCTATGCTGGCTCAGGAATTCTGGGAGTTGAAGTCCACGAGTCATAAAAGAGCCAAGGTTGCCTACCCCTGCCATAGACAAAAAGAACAGATTCAATTAAATATTAACATGATGGCATTTTCCCAGTTTTCCTTGAAGAATATTTTTGAGCTAGACAATTTCTGTAAGGAAGAGTGGAGGAAATGCCAAAAGCCAGGATAGAAAGACTATAAAAGTATAAACTGATGTATGATTGGTAGGTAATGTCAGAGATATTATCTAGAATATATCCAGGTATTCTAAATGTCTGTTGTAAATACGAGCAACATGAAGAGACATTGTATCATGCTTGGTAGACATGTAAACATTTTTTTTAAAAAAATGGATTCAAATAAACACATTCATACGAAGGATTTTAAAGAGTGATATTCAATTAAAGCTAGACCGTTTCCCCTTAGAATTGATGGATACACAGTTAGAAAATGTCTTGGAAGACTGTTTCAATTTATGATCACTGGGCAAACACTATTATATGCACAAAGGTGGAAACATTCGGCACTACCAACCATGAATAGTTGGTAAAATTGACTGAACCTGCTGAGATAACCAAATTGAATTCTTTGATTAGAGAAAGGTCACTATTGACATTTATCGATGACTGCAAACTCTTTATGGACTTTTATATAAAAAAGAAAATTATTTTCTGACTTTGTGTTTTGTTGATTAGAAAAAATAGTCTATAGAAAGAAGAGAAATATGATGTAATCCTAGAGAGACAGATTTGATTATAATTGTATGTATAACTGCCAAGAGGATCAGAAGCTATTTCTTATATTTTTGTTCATGTCTACTGTTTTTTCTTTTTTTCTACCTCTTTTGTCTCTTTTTTATTTTTTATTTTTTCTCTTTCACATTTACTATGTTTTTCTTTGAATATACTTATTATCTATATAAAATCTTTTAATTAAAAACTATTTTAAAAAAAGGAAATGCACAAAAATCACAATGCTCCAACTTCAACTGATCTAAAAGTAGAAGAACTTTTCTTAAATCAAATGTTGGATGTAACCTAGAACAGTTATGTCTTTACTCTAAAATAATAAATAAGGTCTCATTTACTTTGGTATATCCATGTCCATTGTTCTATTATATTAAAAATACATTTAATAGTAATTAGGTTTTGTTAGCTATTCTACTATCTGCTCCAAAAGGAGTAGGCTCAATTATTTCACAGTGAAGTCCGACACAGTCATTGTGGTAGGAAATGAAGTCTTTATTTGGTCTTTATTTCTTCACTGGCAACACTAACCCCATTCATGATTTCTCGTAATAGGCATGCTTAGAATAAGAATTTTCCTTCTTTATGCTTCATTATCTGCATGTAGATGAACACTGAAAATTTGTTTTCCAGCTCTTAAGATCTAAGAGGTTCTTTTTAAAACAGCTAATTAATTTGTGGGTGAGTTTAATAACCACATACAAAGAACCTAAGGAAGGACTTTATTGTATGTTACCATGATTCAGTTTTCTTTCTAGAATAGCAATTTGCTGTTACTGAAACAAACATTAATAACTAACAGAAGAAGGATACTCGACTGCCCACAAAATCCATGAATAACATACAAAAGCCAGTCTCGATGAACTGTAGTTTTGACAACATCAAGCAATTTCCCATTCCATACATATTTTCTGTAAGGTTCACTGCAAATTCCAAATACACCTGAAAAATTATGAAAAAAACAGAACATTATTTTGAACCTTAAGTTAGACCAGTGGTTCTCAACCTGTGGGTCGGGACCCCATTTGGGGTTGAACGACCATTTCACAGGGGTCGCCAAACAACGCAGTCCGCCATTTTTTCCCCTTTTCCTTAGCTGTGCTACTCCCTTTTATTCTATTGGCTTTTGAAAGCCAATAGAATAGACTCTCTTGAATAGAGTCTAATTCTATTGGCTTTCAAAAGCCAATAGGAATTGTCCAGGCTGTCTCTGCCCTGCTGAGCCCGCCAAAAGTCCCATTCTGCAAACGGTGTTGCACCAGTTGAGTAGTCCTCAACTTACGACCAGTTGAGTAGTCCTCAACTTACGACCAGTTGGGGGTCGCGGCATTAAAAAGGTTGAGAACCACTGAGTTAGACGAATCATTGTTAGTTTATACCACACACATGCAGTAGCTATTTTGATACGTATCTTCGTTTTTTAACTTGCAATATAACTGGTGAATAAACAAAGGCCAGAGATTCTGGCCATGCTAAGGATGTTATGGAACACAAACAAAAAGAGCCATATAATGTCTGAATCATTGCATCAGATTAGACAGATCAGAATACCAGAAACATTTTGTTCACTGCTACTGGAAACAAGATATTTATCTATATTACTTTTTGATCTGATCTAGTAGAGTTCTTCCCTTTACACTACAACACCAAGCAAGGTCTGTGCTTTTTTAAAGGGGAAAAAAGGGGGAAAGTATATAAGCCACTTTTCAAGAGCATATTCCTTGACACAAAAAGACATACAAGAAAGTTCCCACTCTTCTCCACTTCTTTAAGAAACTAGTGGAATTCAAAACTGTGTTGCTCTATTGACGGAAGGCTTTCAGCAACAGCATAGGAAAAGTGACTACTGTTCCTAATTCTATATACCAACGCAAATGCTTTATGACACGGGTGTCAAACTCGATCACATCACGTGATGTATCATTACGTACCGCAATGTCTTTTTTTTTTTTTGTCTTTGCGGAGCTGGGGTGGATGTGGCCTGCATGTGATGCATCCAGCCCGTGGGCTGCCAGTTTGACATCCCTGCTTTATGAGATCTCACAATCTTCTATTTGACAGAATTGGAAGACACTAAATGCACCCCTTTCTACTACATTTAGGGAAGCTATCACTAGTAAAAGGGCACTACTTGGCTTCCATTTGCTTTCTTTATAGAATGAAACCCATATGCAATCTTCCTCACAATTATGTAGTATTTACATACTGCCTAGATGAGACTATAGGCCTACATAAGGTTCCCAGCTTATGACCTCCAGATATAAAGAATTGTAACTTGTAGAAAACTCTGAAGTTGAAGAGAATTTTTCACACATTTACAGTCGTAACTTGTGGGAAGAAATAACCGGTATAAATAATTAAGCATGATTTAATTTTAATTACTTCACACAGGTGAGCTAAAAACTGAAGGCTTTTAATCAATTGTCATTGTTTATAATCCAAAGGTATCAGAGAACCGCAATATTTTTCCCATTAGTGTGGACATTAGTATCTATTGGTAGTAGTTATATATCACTAATAGTTTATAATAGATTATAGATATTATATCACTAATAGATTATAAATTGGTTTATAAATTTCTTATAAATAAATCCATAACCACTGATGTTTTTATATAAATGAATTTTTGTAAAATAGTAACAATCACTTGTCTAAATGATTATCTTTATTTATATGCTAACTTAACCAACATAAGGGATCAATAATTTGTAGAAATTGTTTTACTTTAAAAATCAAACTAGGTGTAATCGACATTTTATGTAATACTTTATTAACTCTGAACGCTTTCAGTGTGATACTGATTAACTTAAAAGAGGTCTCTGCAATTAAAAGCATTAAAAAAAACTGGATTTATTTGTATGCAAAGGATACTTACAATTTCCATCTTGAGTAGCAAGTCCCTCATCTTCAAAAATATCAAAACACTCTTGACGAGTTCGTGTTGTTTCTTTTTTAAGTACATCTAGAGGCATTCTCAAAACAGTAAGGTTATATTGAAGGGAGTGGGACAGATCATAGCTATAGCTAAAGTTTGGAGAAAAATAAAAAAAACTGAAAATATTACTGGCCATCATTCTGTAAAGTTTTCAGTTATCCAAAACAAGATGCTTTAATTTACAGTTCTGTGTCATCTAATTGTACAGTTTCATAGTAATAAAATCCCAATTAATCCAATGATAATGACCTGTTCATTCCTAACCTAATTCTAATTGCACACTTACTAAGTATCTCCAATGTCACTGTATTCCAACTTAAAAATAGTCCTTGGGTTACAATAGCAATTGGGACTGGAACTACCATTATTAAGTGATAAGATCATAAAGTGTGATGTCATGTGATCACGTTGCTTAGCAATAGCACCTCTGGCAGTCCCAGTTGCTATAGTTAAGTGATGACTGCACAGGTTGCTAAGCAACAGCCTCACGTGACTGCGGTTTTCAACATCCTGCCGGCTTTCCCATAGACTTTACTTGTGGGAAACCGGCAAGAAACATCAGAAATTGCAGTCGTGTGATCACAGCTTGCTGCAACACTGTAATTGTGAGCTGGGTACCAAGCACCCAGATCACAGTCATGTGACTGTGCAGATGTTGTGACAAATGGAAATAAGTACCTGTCGTAACTCCCTTTTAGCACTATTGCAAGTTTGACCAGTCACTGAAGGTCAAAACATGAGGATGATCTGCCCTATTATATTTCCCCTGACTACTCAAGTCTTATTTCATATGACAAAGTGGACATAAGCAACTGTTATGCACAGCCATTTTAGTTTCTTTTGACAAAAAAAAAAAAAAAACATTCCTAGTAACAAGCCATCTACTCACTACCCTTCCACTGGAATTTGCAGATCTAAAAACTTCTAATGTAATAGTAATAGTAATAGTAGTAAAGTTGGAAGGGACCTTAGAGGTCATCTAGTCCAACCCCCTGCTCGGGCAGGAAACCCTACACCATTTCGGACAAATGGCTGTCCAGTCTCTTCTTAAAAACTTCCAGTGTTGGAGCATTTACTGCTTCTGGAGGCAGGCTTTTCCACTGATTAATTGTTCTCACTGTCAGGAAGTTTCTCCTTAGTTCTAGGTTGCTTCCCTCCTTGATTAGTTTCCACCCGTTGCTTCTTGTCCTGCCTTCAGGTGCTTTGGAAAATAGCTTAATTCCCTCTTCTTTATGGCAGCCCCTGAGATATTGGAATACTGCTATCATGTCCCCCCTTGTCCTTCTCTTCGTTAAACTAGACATACCCAATTCTCGCAACCGTTCCTTATATGTTTTAGCCTCCATTCCCCTAATCATCTTTGTTGCTCTTCTCTGTACTCTTTCTAGAGTCTCAACATCTTTTTTACATCGTGGTGACCAAAACTGGATGCAGTATTCCAAGTGTGGCCTTACCAAGGCATTGAAGAGTGGTATTAATACTTCACGTGATCTTGATTCTATCCCTCTGTTAATGCAGCCTAGCACTGTGTTGGCCTTTTTGGCAGCTGCCGCACACTGCTGGCTCATATTTAAGTGATTGTCTACTAATTTCCTCCCCCTGAGATAGATGGTTTCCTTTAAGCTTTATTATTTTTCTAAACCATGTTCAAAGCCTCCAAAATGCTGCCAATTTAAAACCTTCTCCTACTTAAATAATATCATATAATCTTTCAGAAAATATGTACACTCCAGAGGAACAGAAGACAGTAGAACAACAAAGATCGGGTTATGTATACTGGAGAAAAGATAAGCAAGAGAGAAAGAGAGAGAGAGTTGTGTAACTTACTCATGGGGATGTTGTATTTCAGCCATTGACACGATTTATGAATATTTTAAGTATACTATTCTAAGACAATAAGAGAAGGAAATGTGAAAAATCTAGGTCATCCTCAATTAATAATAAATCAAGGAGCCCTGGTTGGGCAGTGGTTAGAATGCAGTATTGCAGAATTGCCCAGACTGGAGTTTGATCCTGATCGACTCAAGGATGACTCAGCCTTTCATCTTTCTGAAATCAGTAAATGAGGATGCAAATTGCTGGGGGCAATATGCTGACTTTATAAACTGCTTTTGTGTGTGTGTGTGTGTGCTATTGCTAGTGTTATTATTAATAATTCCAATGAATATTTCAAATTAGAAACATACCTGAAATAAAAATTACTAGAGAGGTCCACATTCTGAAAAATTCGGAGGTATCTACAGAAAAAAAAACAAAAGATAATAAAAGATATTTTATGCAGAAAGAATATGCTGTCTTTGGCACTCTCTATTAAAACCTTTTGTACCACTATATCAAATAACATCCTTTATTATGGTCAGTGATCAGATGTAAATACAGTTCAGTAACAATATTACAGAGGGCACGGGGAATGAGATAAAGATAGGTGAGTAAATTACACACAAAAAAGGAGAGGAAAAATAAAACTATGTAGGAACAAGAGCAGCAGACTGCAGCATAAATAATACTTCACTATTAAGTACAAGCTATATTTGTATATGATGGTCTATAGCAGGGCTTTTCAACCTTTTCACCCACTGTACCACTTTTAGGATATGGCAATATCCAAGTACCACCAGTCGCCTAGCAAGATGTCAAAAACTTGACAAAAAAGAGGAAAAAAGTGATAAAGTACAGGTAGTCCTCGACTTACAACAATTCATTTAGTGACTGTTCGAAGTTACAATGGCACTGAAAAAAGTGCCCCCCAAGCCACAGCTGAGCAAGACATCTGCCTGCCCACCCGGCGGCGCTCTTCCTCTGTCCGAGGTTTTCATTGTTGTGAGCATTTCTGTTGAGGATTGGCAGTGGGCGTGCGGTGGGGGGTGTTTGGTTTTTATTCCCCCCATCTGCTGGGTGGTTGCAGCAGGTTTTGGTCACTTCACATGACCCTAGGACACTGTGACCATCATAAATATGAATCAGTTGCCAAGCATCTGAATGTAAATCACAAGACCCTGGAGATGCTGCAACATTCCAGCTGATCGGCACTTCTTCTGGGCTCAGTAGAAGCACCAGGATCAGCGCTGCTTTCCAACTGATTGGTGCTTCTTAAAGGCTCAGCAGAAGCACCAGGATCAGCGCCGAGCTCCAGCTGGAGCCTGGCACTGATCCTGGCACTTCCATTGAGCCCTGACAGCCCTGTAGCTCCAGCCATCTCTCGCTCAGGCTTGTGCAGTGCTGCCAGCGTTTCAGCTCATTCCCCTCCCCTGCTACCACTTTTCTAGGCTGGTCGCGTACCACCTGCCAGGTGCCAATGTACCACAGGTGCTACCCGTACCACTGGTTGAAAAGCCCTGGTCTATAGGATATTAAATAGTAATATATTAAAATTTAGATGAACAAAATGTGGTGACAAAATGTAGAAGCATACACTAAAATAATAAAATTCTATCTGGAATACATTAAGCATAATTGATGATGTTTACTTAATAGCTACTTAATTGTTTATCATTATCACAATTTTGGGTTATATAAGAGGAGAAGAAAATGAAAGAGAAAGAAAAGAAAAATACAGCAGTCCAAGGACACTAAGTTATCAGGTTAGGTCTGAAGATAATTTTTGCCTAGTTTCAACTGTTGCAGATATAAATTCAGTTATTATGTTAGTGATATCATGATTTGAGACTGAAAGACGTAATGGATATAGAATTTGTCCATTCCCCTCAGCACTCATAGTAAAATGGGAGTTATAATTATACAGAAGTTACAAGAGTTATAGTTATACAGAAGTTACAAGGACATATTGGATTGTTTCAATCTCCCTGGCAATGTACACAGGGATATAGGGTTGTTGGCATGTGTTAACTAAAACTTTAGTTTTTATTCATTAACTTGTCAATGACTTAATTTACGTTTCCGCTTTCTGGTTCAAAGCGTTTCCTCTTCTATAAGGATGAAGATGCCATAACAATAACTTTCTTTAGCAAGAAAATATTATCGTAAGAATAGCAGTTGAATTAAAATAGATCTTTATCTCTTATAAAGTATATGGTCTTTCACAAAACTTATATTTAGCATTACACCTTGCCAAGTAGACAATCTACTGCAGTTCTGTTCCTAAATACCCGCTACTTCTATATAATTTGGGGATTATATAAAATGAGAGGGTCACTCCAGTATCCATAAAACAAAATACCTTTTGTTACAAGAACCAAGTTCTTAATCCATAGATACTTCCAAAACAGAACTGCTAGTAATTAATGTAAGAGTCTCATATTAATGCACACAAAATACCAATGAATTACACAAAGTCATAGACTTGGATGAGCCCATATAGGTCCCTGAAGTTAAACTTCTGCCCGGTGCAGAAATCCAAATTAAAGTATCCCAAAAGATTTCTGTATCCTTCCATTTAAGTACACATAGTGACGGGCAGCCAGGTTATATCTTCCATGTGACATTGTTTCAAGTATTTGAAGAATACTATCATATCTTACCTCTCTTTTCAAAATTAAACATACTAACATAGTCCAGCAGCAAGAATCTAGAAGCAAGTCTAAAGTTTGAATTTTGCTCATTAATTCAAGCTAAAGGGAGAAAATTTAGAGCCTCTAATGGCTGTATTGGTTATGTACATCCTCTGAAAATCATATTGCAGAAACATTTATTTCTAATACTAAGCGTGTCACTGGTAAGGAAAAGAAGCAATAAATCATACAACCTACACCAAAGCTACTTGCTGGGCGCAGTTTTTTCAAAAGGTTTTCCCCTCTCTTTCCAAATGCTCTTGCTCAGGTTTGCTGGTTTTTTGCTGTCATTAACTACTGATATTAATTGCTCACCACATGCCGTTCAGCCTGATCAACTCAGTATGAAAATTAAGTGCCATGCTCTGCATCTATTTTTTTATGAGCTATCATAAGATGGCACCCAAGTTTCTAATCCTACAGATATAAAGACTCTCTTGATCCAAGCTTTATTTGTTTTTTGGACAATAATATGAAAGTGGTTTATATTACTTTCTTTTTCTAGTTTAGCCAATGGCTTTTTAAGATCAGCTAAGGTAAGCCGTATATGGTTATTGTATCTTGGTCCCTGTTATCATAAAGCTAAATGGAAACTAAAAATTACCTTGCTTCATCAGGATGACTCACTCGCACAGAGTCATTTGGAATGTAGATCATATTTGTATCTTCTATTTTATATACTGCATGTCCTCCAATATCTGCCATCTTTCTCCTCTTTGTAATAAGCACAATGTAATAACCTTCTAAGAATCTGACAAAACCTGCAAGAAACAGAATAAATTACATATCATTTGTATCTGTCACTTGATTCACTACATTACCAGAAGGCTAAAAAACAACCACAAATTCTGTCAAGGTTGCAATAATTATTTGTATTTTTGGCACCTTATAACACTAGAGATTGGGAGGGGGGAAACCTGTCATTCCTGAATAAATATTTAATCTACAGTGTTTTACTAAAGTAACTCCTTTTCCTATTAAATTATACATGAAATGAGTAATGAATATAAATTGAAAAGTATTTTTCAACATGGCTGTTCACTTCATCTCTTTTGAAAAATTATGTATTGCATTCTCAAAGCATTATTTCATCAAATCAAGGCCTGGGGTGAACTGAGGAAAATGTAATATCCCATGGAGATAAAATCTAAGTAAAGAGTTAACTGAACATTTCTGTATAAAGAACACAAGGCAGAAGGATAAAAAAGCTGGAAATAACAGAAAGGAAAGAGGCAATTAACAAACAGGGAAAGGAAAGGAAAGGAAAGGAAAGGAAAGGAAAGGAAAGGAAAGGAAAGGAAAGGAAAGGAAAGGAAAGGAAAGGAAAGGAAAGGAAAGGAAAGGAAAGGAAAGGATTGCACATACAAAAGGAGAGATACTGATCTCTGTGGAAAAATATCATTCTGGAAATAAGCATAGTGCTCTACTTCTTTAAACCTATGTTTTATACATATGTGTGTAATATTATATATATAATACATATAATGTATTAAATATATTTTTAATTGTCCAGCTAAATAAATGAGAAAGCATAATTAAACTATTAGGAAGAGTTGATACAAGAGGAGATAATGTTAGTATAAGAACACTTGATTTGTCATTTTAAATTATATTTAAAATACCCATACCCATACCCACCTACCAAATAAACTCGGAAGTATACCATCCCTAACCAGATAAATCTAATTTCACATGCTTCCATTAATACCTGACACTACAAAGTCAGATGTACGTTGTTGTTTTTAGCCTCCATCTGAAACAACTGTTCAGCACTGCAATGTATGGTATATTTCCTGGCAAATCCAGACTATTAGCCTTTCCCATAATGAAAATTTTCAATCTACAATATTTGACATGACACATCAGATTAACTTTTCACTCCTTCAATCTATCACAGTTATCAATCAAGAATTCTGCCAAATGACCTTTTATTGTGATTCTACAAAGAAGGATTTATAGCTACCTGTCTATTTAGACAGTCATTCTGTATACTGTAATAATTGAAAACAGTAGGATGCTCAATTTCACCACAAGTGTTGCAGCCAAGTACTTCAATGTGAAACTGTGTGCATTCTAAAAGAGGTTGGTTTTTCCCCCCCATCAGCCTGTTTCAAATGCTTCTAATAAAGAAGCACCAGACAATTGGACTTTTTCAGTGGCGGCACTATTTTCAATGGAACACCTTTCTTATATACTCAATTGGGATGTACTTCATAATGCTGCATATAGAGAAAACAAATAGTTGCAACAGATTTTTTCCTGTCAGCTCTCTACAACTTCACTACTCCTACTTCTATCATAAAACATATCCTATGAGGATCAGGAGTACTTCCACAAACTGTGAATTGTTTTCTCCTTGTTGCAGGACAATAGATTTCAAATGTGAGGGGTATCATCAAAGCTTGCCAAATGTTATGCAAAATGCAAATAATATAATAGGCCATGCAGGCCTATGAGATGGTAGACAAGCACACTCAGTGGCTGGATGGTGACCAGGCCCAATCTGAAGATTATTTAAAACAGGTTCTGTCCATTTTCAGGTTCTGGGAGCTTAAGTCTGCACATCTAAAAGTGCTAAGGTTGAGAAACACTGATCTAAAGACTAATTTGAAGACAGAGACTTTGAAAGCTCTGTTTAAAAAAAACTGGAAAAGGGAAGAATTCAAAGGATAAGAAAAATATTCAAGGTTGAGACCGGAGTTCATCTGAGGAAGATGCTGCAATAAAGATCTGACTAGCTGATATTACCCTATCAGTTCATTCTTCCAATGTCTTGGCCATGCCAATAGGTCCCATTAATTCCACAAAATACTTGCTCCACCAAATGTTTTTATGTAGGAATGACTGGCTATGGCACACCTGATTGTCCAAAATTGAGCAGTTCTGCCTTGCTCGGGTGAATCTCACATCAAACTCAAAGGGAAATATTACTGCGCTTTGTGTGAAGTAGAAATTATGTATAAACGTGTGAAATAAGTTGAATATAGTTGTATAGTATGATATTTTTAATAGTTATGCATTCCAGCTGTGTACTGGTATTTCTGCTACCATATGGAATGCTGTGAAAATTGCCTATGGCCTTTTATGTGAAGATGACAACATTTGTCATAAGCAATGTAATCACCTTGGGAAGCATCCAACAACATCATTTCTCTAGTGGAGTGATATTTTTTCTCTTCTCCATTTCACAGTGTACCCTCTAAAGTTACTTTAGAGATTTGGGGTGCATAGAAAGCAATGGAGGTCAGAGGGAAGGTAAAGCCTTATCGTCTGAACAGAAACAGAACTGAATAATTTTGGATGCAGCCTTTTGAGCTGCAGATGAAATTGTGTAAGTCACTTTGAAGCTGGAATTTCCATTTGCACAACACTGGATTCTGCTCAAGGAGGAGGTTCTGATTTTGAATGTGCAAATGTTGCTCCTCTGGAAGTGAGCTTACAAAGTAATCAATACTTTAAAAAACAGAACAAATCTGTTGTCATGGCTCCGATAGATGAAACCCATCAAAAGAACTTCAAGGCAAAAATTCTTCCTCAAAGAACATTTTATTCAGTAAACAAAGTATCGGCACTACATAGTTGAACCCAAAACTAGATTCCCTTCCCCCAGATACAAAGTAACAAATTGCAATTCCCACCCAAGAAGCAGTCATAAATCACGTTCTCCAATTAATCTGAAAGCGGGCTTTCTCCCCAGCTCCTTAGCCCACCAAAACGTTATCAGTTCGTCCTTGGGTTTCCACAGAACAGTGTTATTATTATGGCTAGCTGAGCTCAAGCATTCACCCCAACCCCCCTTCTGCACCTGATTTCTAAATAGAAGAAAAAGCATGTTAAAAGCAAAGGGAAAATGGCCGCGATTTTCATCAGTTGCAGAGCGGAAACATCTAATGTTTACAGCATTGACATCTGTATTGGATTAGGTGGTTCACATGTAAAGTTGTTTCTATGCAGAGCAGCCTTTGGACTTCATGCTGGCCTCACTGAAATTGCACACTCGTTCCTAGTAATAAGCAATACTTGCTTATTGTTAGACGTTAACTAGAAGACGGATAAGATCTCAATGATGATGATGATGATGATGATGATGATGATGATGATAATAATAATAATAATAATAATAATAATAATAATAATAATAATAATAATAATGTTGGAAGGGACCTTGAAGATCACCTAGCCAACCGCCTGCTCAGGCAGGAAACCCTATACCATTTCAGACAAATGGCTGTCGAGTCTCTTCTTAAAAAAACTTCCAGTGTTTGGAGTATTCACCATTTCTCCTTAGTTCTAGGTTGCTTCTCTCCTTGATTAGTTTCCATCCATTGCTTCTTGTCCTGCCTTCAGGCACTTTGGAGAATAGCTTGACTCCCTCTTCTTTGGGGCAGCCCCTGAGATATTGGAACACTACTATCATGTCCCCCCTCATCCTTCTCTTCATTAAACTAGACATACCCAATTCCAGCAACCATTCCTTATATGTTTTAGCTTCCAATCCCCTAATCATCTTTGTTGCTCTTTTCTGTACTCTTTCTAGAGTCTCAACATCTTTTTTACATTGTGGTGACCAAAACTGGATGCAGTATTCCAAGTGTGGCCTTACCAAGGCATTGTAAAGTGGTATTAATACTTCACGTGATCTTGATTCTATCCCCATTAATGCAGCCTAGCACTATGTTGGCTTTTTTGGCAGCCGCAGCACACTGCTGGCTCATATTTAAGTGATTGTCCACTAGGCCTCCAAGATCCCTCTCACAGTTACTACTATTGAGCAAGGTACCACCTATACTATACCTGTACATTTCGTTTTTCTTGCCTAAGTGTAGAACCTTTCTTTTTTCACCATTGAATTTCATTTTGTTAGATAGCGCCCAGTGTTCAAGTCTGTCCAGATCCTCCTGTATCTTAAGCCTATTTTCTGGAGTTCTGGCTATTCCTGCCAGCTTGGTATCATCTGCAAATTTGGTGAGTTCCCCATCTATCCCCTTGTCCAAATCGTTAATGAAGATGTTGAAGAGCACTGGGCCTAGAACAGAGTCCTGGAGCACCCCACCACACACTTCCCTCCATGCAGATCCAGTTCCATTGAGGACCACATGCTGAGTACGGCCGGTCAGCCAGCTACAGATCCATCTGGTGGTGATGCTGTCTAACCCACATTTTTCTATCTTATCAAGTAGTAGCTTGTGATCTACTTATCAAATGCCTTACTGAAGTCCAAGTAAATTATATCGACAGCATTCCTCTGGTCCACTAATTTTGTCCCTTGGTCAAAGAATGGAATAAGATTTGTCTGGCATGATCTGTTTTTGACAAACCCATGTTGGCTTTTAGTAATGACTTTGTTTGCCTCTAGATGTTCACTGATTCGTTGTTTGATTATCTTTTCCAGAATCTTCCCAGATCTGTAGTTTTCTGGATCTATTTTTTCTCCTTTTTTGAAGATGGGAACTATATCAGCTCTCTTCCAGTCCTCTGGCAGTTCCCCAGTGCTCCAGGATCTTTGAAAAATATAATTCAGTGGTTCTGAGATCACATCTGCCAGTTCCTTGAGAATCTTGGGGTGTAATCCTTCTGGTCCTGGTGATTTGAACTCGTCTAACCTGGACAGGTGCTCACTTACCATTTTCTTGCCTATCTTAATTTGTGTTTGTAATCTGATTTTTATGGTACTGTTTTTGATAGGTTGGACTATTTTTTCCCTTTGTGTAAATACAGATGCAAAAAACGAGTTAAATAGTTCTGCTTTCTGCCTGTTGCT